AGGGGGGAGGAAGAGGGTAAGTGGGGTACCCAATAGCTTTGACAAAGTGTTTTAAAAGTTTCCCAACAATCCAGCAGACTCTCTAGAAAGCGAACACTCCCCATCCCATCTGAATCCTCTATCTTATACTGAAATTTTGTTTTCATGAAAGGAATAATGAAGGTCTGAATCTGGAAGAAATCAAGGGTTTCAAAGTGCCATCAAAGATGGTAGAGAAGATGAAAAGCCACATGAGAAGTAAGTCCAAATTTTGCAATATGAAGTTTTGCTTTCAAAGCTGTACTGTCAGGTTTGAGATTCTGACTGATGATTCTGTTGTTTTCAACTCCTCAACTCATAGAAGTGATTAGTTTAGTTTAGTTTATTAGCTTCGCCAACAGGCAGGAACACCGCAAAAGCTTGCGCCAATTACTGCGGGCCCAGTAAACCCACCCATCCCAGCCCAGGGGAGAACATCCATCACACAGTAATGTCGTGCGTGGGAAATTAACGCCTCGCACCCCTAACCCTGAAGGAGACAGGACCTCCATTTATTCGTCCCTATCCAAGAAGAGTAGAATATCTAACCATTACTTGGTGTTATAGAAAGGCAGCATATTCTTCTCAATTATTTCAAGACCTTGAGTGTTGGTCCAGTCGGATTCATTTTTTACTTCTCCTTGTTACAATATAATTTAATACATTTTCCTACTAAATTCTTTTAACCAGTTTGCAAGGAAATGTGTAGTATATGGAGTGTTAAGTATATGGAGGAGAGAATTTGCAGTCAGATCCATGATTAGTGTTAAACCTTAGAAACCTGTTGTAAGCCCTGTTTTCATACAGCATTTAACCTTGCTCTTGATAGGGATTTGTGTGAAAGAACAGAGCTTCGATAATTTTGTTTAAAAACTTATGAAATGCCCTGAACATTACATGTAAATGTACCATAGGACAATTTTCCATTACATGTTCTGTTTTTTAATTACACACTAAATTTATACTATATACAATGAAATATATGAACTTCATATATTTCATTGTATCTGATTTATCACTTTCACGGGTTTATTACGAATCAACTTAACGGCCTGCTCCCAGTTGGCTTGTTAGCTGAATTGGTAGAGCGCTGCACTAGTATCGCAGAGGTCAGTGGTTCGAATCCCGTACAGGCCTGATTTTTTTCAGGTCTGATTTTCGCTATTGCTTAAATAGCGCTATCTACTGCGAGGATCGTGCATCATATGTATCTAATACCGCAGTTCAAAATATATGAACTTCATATATTTCATTGTATCTGATTTATCACTTTCACGGGTTTATTACGAATCAACTTAACGGCCTGCTCCCAGTTGGCTTGTTAGCTCAATTGGTAGAGCGCTGCACTAGTATCGCAGAGGTCAGTGGTTCGAATCCCGTACAGGCCTGATTTTTTTCAAGTCTGATTTTCGCTATTGCTTAAATAGCGCTATCTACTGCGAGGATCGTGCCATATGTAAATTTATATTGTAGCTCATTTTCACAACGTTTTAAATAAGTTAGATGAAGTATAGTTTAAATAACCACATGACAGGGGGTGTGATGAGAGGAGGTTGGGAGGGAGGGGGAGGGGAGGGGCAAGGAAGAGGGAGGGAGATGGGAGGGGGAAGGAAGGGGGAGGGGGGAAGCTTCCGTGTAACTATGTAGTTAAAATTGTGTCAACTTACTCTGTAGAACTGAAGAGAGAAGCAGCTGCTCGAGGTGAGGTTAGAGACAAAGTCAAGGAGGAACAGAGTCCTGCCAACGACGAAGTAAAGGAGTCAGCAGAACACGAAGGCATGGAAACACCCTCTCAAGCTCCAGTCATTAAACAGGAACAGTGACTTCGCAGGTCAAGACGGATAGGAACAATTTTATTTATTAGAATTAGTCGTTCTTTGTAGAACTGTACTGTAGAGTGACTCCTCTTCTCGGTGACGAACCACTTTCATCGTGAATAAGTTACTCATATCCTAGTGTCTGTTGATAAGTTCTTAATTGACTTGATAAAATGATTAATCTCCAGCCTTTATGGGGGCTAAGTATGGCCAGCGAGCAGGCTGTCGTTAATAGCACTGCAGGGAGCGCCTTTAATTTCTCTGCCCGCATAAAGATTTGGGACGATTCGGGGAGAGATTTGCCAGACCCTGACATACCTCTCGCCGGCTTGCTTTCTCAACAACCTAGACTTTCGCGCTCGTGTCGCAGCGCTATCAATGAAGGCTGCTCACCGGTTAGACAAACTAGAACTTTGAAATTTTGTTATAAGACAGGTAAAGATGTTATCCAAATTGAATGTCGGAACCAGTTTAGAGTCACAAATGGAAAACTGAGTAGTCTTTGAACGGGCTTCACACTCGAGGAATACTGTAGAGAAATTCTTCTAAATTTTTTGTGTGTGAAACATAACTTTTTAAGTCATCAGAAATCCATCTCTTTATTTTTTTTTTTTTAGTATTTTTGGCATGTTACGATTAAATCACAAGTTTTCCTTCTTTCCTGAAGGCTTTGTTACGTAAGCATGGCGCACGACGGCGCCGTTGGGTCACCTTATAGTCCCGTGTCGTCGTCCTGTAGAAATTTGAATTTACGATTCGCTGTAAAGACGACGACGTCGTTTATGCGCGACCGGCAAATTTTCCCGCCGTTTCTTAAGTTTGTTTTTATCTTTTGACAAGGCGAGTTGTTTAAACTAAAATGCCTAACTTCAGAGAAGCGAGAGCTTGTATAGCATACGCTTATGGAAGCAACTTTAGAAACGAACAAGAATTTGTACTTTTGTAAGACTGTCACAAGTCAACAAATCCAGAGTTTCCGTACTGGAACTACCACAGGTTCGATTTAGACGAGAAATCAAACGACAAATGCAAGGCCGAGTTTCGTTTCTACAGGGAGGACATTTATAAACTTGCTGAACAGCTACAGCTACCTGACGAGATAACAACTTAAAATGGTTTAGTTGTTGCTTCGGTACCTGCACTATGCATGTATCTCAAGCGCTTTGCCTATCCTTGTCGATATGGAGATTTGGTTTATCATTTCGCCAGACCGGTTCCTGAGATTTCCATCATTACAAACCACATAATGGACTTGATTTACGGTCGGTGGCATCATCTGCTTACAAGATACAATCACGATTTCCTCTCTCTCCTCCCAAACTTCTGCAATACGCTGAGGCGATCGATCAGGCAGGAGCTGCCTTAAACAACTGTTGGGGATTCGTAGATGGGACTATGCGTCCAGTTTGTTGGCCTAACGAAAACCAACAGCCATCTACAACGGCCATAAGCTTGTCAACTCTATCAAGTTTCAGGCTGTCGCTTTGCCTAATGGATTAGTGGGAATCTATTTGGCCCAGTTGAGGGAAGACGCCATTACAGTTTCATGCTGGCTTCCTCAGGATTCTTGCAAGAACTGCAGAGGTTTTCCAACTGTCTAGTTACTGGCCTCCCCCTTTGTGTGTACGGTGACCCCGCCTATCCGATACGAGCACATCTACAAAGGCCCTTTAAGGGTGGTGTCCTGACCCCAGCTCAACAAGATTTTAACACCTCACTGAGCACAGTCCGCTCTTCTGTGGAGTGGCTATTCGGGGACATTGTTAATTATTTTAAATTCATAGATTTAAAAAAGAACCTTAAAATCGGACATAAACAATTTGGCCTCTTACAAGATAGGACACAAAGAGTGTAAAACGCGTTATTATCAGAGTACAAATAAAGTGACGAAAACGGAAATCAAAAGCTCTGTTCAAATGTTAAGATGCACCAAAAAATGTCTTTTACTGCAGCAATACTATAGCTGCTCCAAACCTATTGTCTCTTTCCTAAAAGTTCAATAATTGCCTGAGATTGTGCTTGCTGGCTGTTAAGCATCATCTGCATGAACTGTTGGTGCTGCTGTTGCTGTTGCTGCATCTGTAACTGTTGTTGATCTCGCAGCTGAGAAAGCAGTGCCCGCTGAGTAGCCATGATAGCTTCTTGCTTTCTCTTTATCTGTACTTCCTCTTGCCTTAACTTTGATTCCCTCTCTGCTGCCTCCCTGAGGTGGTTAAGTGTGTCATTGCTTTTTTGACGTTTTTTTCGCGGTTCATCTTTTCCATTTCACTTCTTAGTCAGAACTATCCGCTCCATAGCCCTCTCCCTCATTTCCTCCCCTGACGCTTTATCTTTATCCTCCTTGTTTCGATCCTCAGCTGATTCTTTGGTCTGTTTAGCCTCTTCCTCATCTGATCTATTTCTCGATATTCCTGGGAAATTCCCGAGCCCCTATCGGCCTCTCTCTTCCTAGCCTTGCAATCCCTTTCTAGGACTTTCAAGCGGTCTCTCAAACCCTTTGGCGAAACGCGAAATTGGGTATCTTTGATGTTATTCAGAATTTTGCAAATTTCCTCAAAGCAGTTCCCCCGCTCTCTGGTGCCTGAACGGTACTTCCAAAGCTCTCAACTAAGGAGTTCGCGACCAACTATAGTGTCATGTTTCTATGACCATTTCATCTTAGACATTCTATGAAAAGATGATAAAAAATATAACTGTTACTTATAAATAATTGGGGAAAGATCAAGTGTTCAATTTAATACCAACAGGAAAATAGATGCATCAGTTGAGCTTAATTTCTATAAACGTAACTCTTACCGTTTCAAATCTTGCTTGATAAAGTACATAATGAGGATATAATGCGCTGCGTTGCATTTTTGACTCTGGGTAACTGTAAATGTAACCCTTTCTTGACAAGTTATCTATTTATGAAACCATACGGGTTGGTTGTTAGTCTCAGGAGCTGGAGAAAAAATATACAAGACAGATTAACAAAACGTGATAGCATGGCAGAAAAGGAAGCGCAGCTGTATAAAGTCGAGAAAAATTTGGATCTTAAAAGATTAGGCCGGCTATACGATCACTCAAAACAACAGACGAAAAATTGCCTTGCTCTGTAGTTGAGCTATCTAGTCCTTGTTCCTAACTGTCCACTCGAATGTTAAAAAGCAACTTTTTAGTCCTTTCAAATTCTTTGTACTCTAGAAAATGTTTTATATTTCGGTGAAGCGTGATTAAAATGAAAGATTTTTCATACAGCAATTTACTTTTCATTCATACCCTGTCGTGCTTTGACCGCTTTCAGTGTTAGTTGAACTCACAGCGTTCGCCATGACACTGGCAGTAGAAGGTCGTTTCTTAAACGAAAACAGGCACACAAAATTAAAATCAAATGTCAAGGACATGCCCCTAATGTGATACTTAAATTATCTCGCAAAAATACCCGAAGCATCGAGAGAAAACTTTGAAAACTAACCTCACGTCCTCCTGTTTCCAAGACGCCGTTATGTCGCTCTCACCAACGTCGTCGACTTTGGCGCGAAGCTGACAAGTGCTCAGAAAGGCATGCGCAGTGAGCATATCACACAATCTAACGGCGGCGTCGTGCAAAAGTCGTCGATTCGTAAGCTCCCTAATAGTGCATTTACGACGCCCTTGTTGAATGGGCCAACAAAATGCTTACACGTTCGACGTAACCTCGTTCCCAGGATCCTCTGTCCTCCTCCCTCTCTGTCAAAACGGTAAACGACATAGGCATAGCAAAAGGAGGGAGGGGTGAATAGCCTAATGGGGTAATCCTAAAGGTCACGTTGTAATTTCTAATAATAAAACAACCTAGCATGTTAAATGCCTTCAAGATTTTATATCTTCTCGACTCGTCTCAAATCCCTCCTCGGACGGAGGACCACGCGTCTTGTTGCGCTAACAACGTAACGCGGGCCTGCGCGTGTGTTGAGTCTTAAAGTATTGGTGATACTGGGAGGCGGTGTTTTCGAGTATCAAAAGTGTTAATTTACTTTTCTGAGGTCATTTTTAGGGTAGTAATGGGATAGGGTGAGGTAGTAATAGCTTGACGAAGCACAACTCGTCGGAATTACGGTCTTTTCGTCCAGAAGTCTTTTCGTCCAAAAGTATTTTCACTAAGTCTGTTCGTTTACTTGTTAAGTCTTTTCTCGAAGCAAATAAATAACTTTTATGAGAGACATGTTTCGGCATGCTTATGCCATCTTCAATCAATGAGTAAAAGAACATATAACAGACAAGTAGATGAATAAAATATTTACAGTATGATATAATACAAAAGCGGGTACTAATTACAACGTGACACCAAACATCAAAGGTGTGAACTAAAACGCTAGAAAAGTGTTATGTTGTAATTGCTTGTTAAGTTAAGTTTTGATCTTATTTATATAAAAAGCTTCTTTGAGTTTTAAATCAATTGAGTTGTTAGCAGAATCCAGAAT